CTTTGTGAGCGCTGGACGGTGTTGCCTCCCCCAGCGCCGCTCGCCGACCACCCCGCCTGCCCGGCCGGATCCCAGAGAGGTCGGGCAAGACCTCCCTAATCGAGGGGGAGGGGAGCCGAGAGGGCTCTGCGATGAGGAGAGGGCAGGGAGAGCAAACTGAAGAGGAGCTGGGTCTGGGAGCTGGACAGCGAGGGAAGGGAAGGGTAGGCGTTACAGCGGAACGAGGGCGGCAGGGCAGCCGGGAGTCGGCAGAAAGAGAGGGAGCCCTGTCAGGTCGGTGGCAGGATTCGGCTCCCCTGAGCCGGTGCAGCAGCCAGGCACGGGCAGGAGCAGGAGGCTTTCCGAAAAACTGCAGTAGGCTGACTTAGGGAGGCAGGCTGATAGCAGGCTGAAAGAAGAAACAGGCACACTTGGATTAAGTGACATATATTTCTCACCACCACCAATGTATCCCACAAAAGAGACCTCAGACTCTTCCTTCTTCCTATTCAGATTTAGGATTCACAAGCAGTAAATTCGGCTTTTAGTCATAACACCTCTCTCCCACCAGCCACCCACCCCTTTCCTTGCTTTTTCACTCTGAGTCATCTTCAACACCAGTGTCTGCCTACTGCTCCCTTCCAGGGTTTCACGGCCTCGTCTGGGGCTTCGGCAGCTTCCAGCTCATCCTCCCTCCTTGCCTCCCTCCCTGCTGTTTGGCTGCTTCCGAATGTATCCCGCTTCGCTGAGTTGGTCAGGAGTTCCAGCACACCCACAATTACCGCTCCTTTCCTACTAGCCATAGTAGTGTGCTGGTAAATAGTGTCCAGGGACCAGTAAAAGCGTAGATAAACACGGTATTACATTCCTCCCTCTTTTTGAAGAGCTTCATTATCTGCACATGCCTGGCTCAATCAGGACTTTCCCATCAAGCTAAAAAGGCTGGGCTGTTGATACCTTCCCCCCTCCATTAAAGGTGGTTCGTGATTACTGGCAGTGACTGCTGCTCCGAGCGCACAAGGACTATGCGGAGGGAGGGAGAGGGAGACACCGCTGCGGTAGGAAGACCTTCCAGTCTCCTCTAGTCCTGGGCTGTTCAGACAGGACTGCCTGCCGCTGTCGGCTGCCGGCAGGCAACAGGTTAGCCAGAGCCGTGTGCTCAGAGATGGAGGCAGCCGGTGTCAGCTTGCTCCCCTCCAGCCTCCCAGCGACACCACAGGCACTGCTGTCCTTTCTTGATGGCTGAGAGAAAAAGGGAATAAGCAAAGGTGCCTGTGTGTGAGTGTGAACGTGTGCGTGTGTGCGCAGAAAAGGGAGAGAGGCTAGCAAACATGCATTCGGGATTTTCCTCTCCTCAGTGGCTGTGCAAAGGAATGAAAGGTCTGCAGCAAGGTAAGGAGCCCTAATCCAGCCAGAGTGGTACGCTCTGCTCTGGGAAAGAGAGGTGGGGGTTGGGAGGTGGAAGGGCCAGGGTGAGAGGCAGAGTGCAGGATGGGGAGGAAGCAGGGAGACAAAAGGGAGCAAGAAAGAGAGAGAAGCTCATGCCCTCTTCTCTCCCCTCCTCCCTCTTCGAGGCGGGCTGAGAAATTTCTAATCAGCACTCGCAGTTCCTTTCTTCCCAGAAACGATTTCTCTCTGTCCTTTGTTTGTATTTAATTTTTGGCTCTTGCATTTATCTTTTGTTTGGTTTTGTGCATTGTGACTTCTTACTGCGATTTCAGAAAATCTTGCATGAGATACAACAGGTTTGGTTCATCTTCTTTCCTCCTGTCCTCTTCTCCCACATGCCTAAGCTGGTGTTCTAATAACAGCAAAAGGATGAAGAGCAGGTCATCCTTTATTCCTTCCTGTGAAGTGACACAGGCTAGGAAATGTGTGGGACTGTGTTCTTCTCACTCTAGGAGAAGATCATGCAATTCGTCAAGTATCCTTAAGACCCTGTGTGAAGCTGGGTCCTGTAAAATACCAAGTGCAGCTTGGTTCCGGAATTAATCCTCCGCTTGTATTTACCGTTATTCTTATTAATGCTATAATTCCTAATGCATTTAAAACTCAAGAGAAGTGTTGCAGTGGAGAATGAACTCCAGTTTTACCTACAGATCAAGTAAAGAGTTTTTCTTTTCTGCCTCACAATTTGGACTAAGCTTGAAAAGATTACAGTTAGAAGACTGTCCACATTAAAATGTGATCTTCTCTCCCTGTTGAGTAATTTTTCACCAATAATGCAATGCAGTGGTGTAGTACAAAGGCAGGTAGATTTACTGCCTCTGCTTTCTCAGCCACAGTTTAGGCAGGGGGGACATGCTGGAGCACGGTTTTGCTTTGCTGTTTCCTGGTCAACTGAGCAGACTTCTTGGGAAAGCAGGGAAATGGATGGACTCTGTTTATCAGCCTTGATTTACAGTATTCATCTGACTTCCCTTGACTGGCTGCACACAGCATAAGTCTAGTGTAGCTGGGAAGAAATCGCACATTTTTCTTACTTTTTATGCCAGTGACATCACCTTGAGTGGGACTGGCACCAGTGGAAATCCCGGTGCTGTCCCAAGGACAGGTGTTACGGCTTGGTGTTACAAGGCTTGGAGAGACTCTTCCCATTTCTTTTCTTTCGTTCCGGAGTTTTGGTGGTGACCACTTGCTGAGTGACAGTTCTGGGAATGAGTTCTGGGATGGTGAAGCAAGACCGTAAACCAGGAGCCATCTGACAATTGTAACAGATTTTAGACAGTAATGAAGACAGGGTGGATTGGATCTGGTGGCCAAAGCTGTGATAATTCACCTGAAAACACCCGGTGAAAGGTACAGGTCATAAGAGTGTGATGAGCACAGGGAAGCTGGTGAGGAGACAACCAATACCTAGAGAAGCCCATGAAATATCCCGAGCTCTTGGAAAGAACCGTGTGCAGTCCCTGCGGTTTCAGGGCTGTATAATTCCGTGGGGAAGTGGGGAGCGTGGGGTGTCTGGGGGACAGCATCACGGAGAATGGGGAAGAGCAAGGAATGGTCCAGTGTCTGCTGCAGTCAGTGTGCTGGGTCTGGGCTGTCTCCTACATTGAGCGTTTTTGCGTTGAGGGTCTGTGCTGGGTGTGCAAGGCCACGCTTTTCTCCAACTGCTTCCAGGGAGCTGAAATTCTCCATTTTGCTGTGGAACTGTAAAAAGCAGTACTGTGCTTTCACCTTAGCTGCAGCTGACGTGTTCAGGCATTGGTTTCTTGCTGGCTTAAAAAGTTGACAGTTAGTGGCCACAGAGCTAAGAACACAAGCCTGATAGGAACCAGACCAAGACATCCAATTCATTTCCCACAAGCCACTCAACATAATCTGGTGGTGATGGCTTTTTCTTTTTTTGCTGATAAACTGCATGGATTGGATTTAGTCCAGCATGAGTAGGCAAGAATCTGTCAACACGATCTCAGTGATCCCACTCGCGCTCCATTCACCTGTTTACACATCTGCTTATCATCTCTGACTTTTCGGTCTTAAAGCTCAGATCTTGCATTTCCTGATTCAGGCTTGATCCGCATTTGAAAGTGTGGATGGTCTGCCGGTATTGGGCAGTGGGGGAAAGAACACTTTTAATTGATGCATAGTAGCCAAGGCACAGAAAAGAAAGACATAGCATGCTTTTGTCCAGAGGTTTATTTCGCTCGAGGAAGAGATGCGAACTACCCTAGGAGCAATCTCAACAATGAACGTATGCTTTCTGCCAAAGCCCTTAGCTGGAGTCTAGGAGTAGTTTTCCTTAGGTGCCTGGTTCGGGGCCCAAGGACTTCTGTTCTGCTGTGTGCACAACTGCCACTCCTATCAATAAAGGTGCAAAAAATTGGGGGATGTAATTTTTTGTAGTTTCATAGCATCAGCTGTACTGCCTCAGGCAAATGGTAGTGTGAGCCAGATAATTGCAGAGAAAGAGATGCAGTACGTGCACGGACAGGGAGCCCCGTGCTGACCCAAAGCCCTCTCTCAGGCTCAAACCTTATCTTATGCACTAGAAGGATGCAGTCTGAGACCTATCACACTGAACTGCAGTATTCAGCTTTGCCATTATTTACAGAGATTAGTGCTTCAGATCAAGTTTATTCTAACTAGATGATCTTTAAGGTCTCTTCCAACGCGAACCATACTATGATTCTATTCATAAAGGCTAGCTTAAGGCTGTATAGAGAAGCTAAATTTTGTTTTGGGGTTCACCTAGCCTGAGGGAGTCACAGGCTGCTCTGGAGAGCAACTGAAAAGCAAGAACTTAAGGTATCACCTCTTAGTTGCCTTCTCTCATTTGCTCTTGGAAGGCACTTATGAAGATCAGGCTCACAAGGCTCAAAAGCACCCTTACAAATATCCCCTCTGTAATCGCTTCCTGGAATTTTCTTTAATCACCACTGAAATGTATTAGTGACGACTTGTGTGCAATTTTGATTGCATAGTTTGGATACATAGTTTGAGGGCAGTTCAGGAAAAGAATGGGAGAAAGGAGACAAATACACGTTGCCGATGAGAAACAGACAAAACCTATAGACTTATATTTCTGAAGTGCAATTATTTTTAAGCTCTTTCTCTGGGAGTGTATATACACGCATGCACAGACACACAAAACCATGGATTCTTTTTATTTTCTGAGGGTAAGGATACCTGTGTTTTTAATATGCACTTGATTTATATTTGCAGATCTTTCTCTGGAGACTTAGGAGAGCGAGAAAGAAGGAAAGCAAAACTGTCACATAGTCATGAGACTCCTACAAGCTAGATCTTTCTTGTGGAAGTTCAAACATTGTGAAATTCGGAATGAACAGGTTGCTTCTCTGGAGTGCCAGAATTACATTTCCACGATGATTTTGAAATAAAGGCTAATCTTGCTCTGTCTGCATTAGTCAAAACATAGCAGAGCACAATTCAGTTTCTTTTTAGACCTATTTGTATTAAACTAGACAAAGAGCTGCCCTAGTGCTGTCACTAAGCTCTTCATCCTTTTTCACGTCTTTCATTCTTTTTTTCCTCTGCTGTATAAACAGCCCAGAGTTCTGTCCTGTGACACATCAGAGGCTTTTCCTGTCTTGGCTAGTCTCTTGAAGGTTTTTGAGGTCAGCATTTTCTTCCTGAAAGTTGAGGAAGTCCTAAGCAGACCTCTGTAATTCACGTGCATGGACATAACTGACAGGTGTAAACCCACTGTCTTGTCTTCAGACAGTGAAACATCCTGTTGGCCTTTTTGATGGATGCTGTTACAGCAGTGACGTACTACTTGAATCGATTTTGATATTTTTTTTTTGGCAGAGGAAATAACAGGTGTATAATTTCCCAGTTCTGCCATATATAATTGCATATAATTTAACTTAAATAGATCTAGAATGTCTACTGCTCCAGTCTCTAAATCTGAGGCCTCGTGTTGCTCCTAAATGCTATTTCTGGAAAGGATCCGAAAATAATACTTCAGAAGTTAAAAAAGAGCTTGAGATAGAATGTAGAAGATGCTAGATAATTTACTGCATGTCTCCCAAATGCTTTTGGGTAGAAAAAGAACTCCTCTGTTCTCCCAAAAGCTGGTTTTCTTTTCTTTTCTTGATACAGGCATTCACATGGGGATAGGGTGGGGAAAGTTAGTCAGATGAGAATTTGCTAAAGCTCAGCTAATCATTTATTAAAGCAGTCCCTGGCTTGCCAAACTCATTAATCTCATTAACAGGGAAGGAGGGCTGTGGTGCATGGCTCGCTGAAAGCTCTGTGTTTACTAAGCAGCATACTTCGTTCACAAGGGAAAGATTTAAATATTCACTGTGTCACTGTTTTATCCCTGAAGCTGAAGTAACGTGATGAGTCACTTGATCAGCGCATGTCACATGCTGGCTTTGGCCACGGACAGTGTGGGGTCAGGCACAGAGTTGCCAGATACAGGTCTGCCCCGGACCCATTTGTTTATCAGGTGTTTGTCATGTCTCTTGCATTCAGACGCAGCCTAGGAAGCACGGGTCTCTGGAGGGGAAAGAATAAGAGAACATCACCACTTGGTTCGCCTTGAGAAGCAAGTGGTGATACTCTCTTAATGCCATGTGGCCCCTACATTTTCTGCCCCTCTAGTCCCCAGGAACAGTAGGCCGGCTAGAAAGGTACCAGCTGCCCATTCCTGAGTAATCTCCCTGCCTACACCTCAGGAAAGCGGAGGAGCTGCCTCATGCCCTCCCCACCTCTCCTGTGGGAGCATCATGTTGGGACCTCAGCTGTGTTTTGTGGCACACTGGAGAACACCCACACTTCAGTGTTTGGATTTGCGTCCAGGCACTTCTGGAAAAGCTAATGACAGCTCTTGTGCGGCTTCCACAATATGCATAATGTCATGCATTCATTATATGCATAATACAGCCTTCCTGTGCGAATGCTGTGACACCTTCGTGCACTGCGAGCCTTCACGTCTAAGTCCCTGGAGTCAAATCCTGCCTAGATCAGTAACTCTTTGTTCGCATCAGTGACTATCTTGCTTCCAAAATATGCTTTCCCGAGGTTATGACTGTACTGTGTTTTTATTCCCTGAGTGGTATTTACAGACTTCATTGTGATTTGTAGTTCGGACATTGATAACTTGTTGAAATCAAGAATCAGTGTTGATCCAGCCTCTTCACTTTTCCTTTGGTCAATTCCTGATCATGAGATCTCTGCTTGCTTTTTGCCTTTTCAGGTTTGCAGCTGTCTCCAACTTGACCTTGTCCCTTCCTGCCTGCTGTTGTCATGCTGTTGATGCATTTATTGCTCTCCATCTGCTTTAAGCTCCAGTGCTTTAGTCTATGCTTTTTTTTTTTCCCCATCCTAAAGATACCTCCTGTCATTTCACTTTCTTTTGCCAGCTTCCATGTCTTAAATCTCCTGCAACTTGGCTCCAGCCCTTTGAAATTATTTTGACTTAGGCTGATACACCTTCAGCTTCTTCGAGCCGAACGTTAGCTTCCTGCTTCCACAGTTGTCGTCCTGCTTATCCTTCTGCTTCCTATACTTACTCTGATACTTTTTCCTGTCTCCATCTGTTTTCTTCTTTCTTGGCATTTGCCTTTCTCCCCTACGGCTTCCTGACATCAGGAAGCCTTTTTTTGTCCTCAGTCTTTCTTTCCTCCCTAAGCTTTCCGTAAGTCCATCAGTCCCTCCTGATGATGTGTAAATATCATAGAACCATAGAACAGTTTTGGTTGGAAGAGATCTTCAAGGTCATAGAGCCCAGCCTTTTTCCTAGCCCTGTCAACACCACTAAACCGTGTCCCTCAGCACAACATCCACCGATCTCTTAAACCCCTCCAGGGATGGCAACTCAACCACCTCCCTGGGCAGCCTGCTCCAATGCCTGACAACCCTTTCAGTAAAGAAATACTTCCTAATATCCAACCTGAACCTCCCCTGGTGCAGCTTAAGGCCATTTCCCCTCGTCCTGTCACTTGTTACTTGGGAGAAGAGACCAACCCCTATGTCATTACAACCTCCTTTCAAGTAGTTGTAGCGAGCGATAAGGTCTCCCCGCAGTCTTCTCCGTGCTAAACAGCTTTATTCTCTTGAATATTTCCTTATGTCTTGTCCTATTTTCATTGTTCACTGCTCTGGGCCTTGGGGTGTATGGTAACTGGGTGTAGGGTACTGCTACCACCACCATTTCCCAGGCTGATTCCCTTTCCTCATATGAACTTCCACTGTCAGGCCCTGCTGCCGCTCAGCTGCAGAGAATGACCCTGGTTACAAACTTCCTCCTCTTTCAATGCCTCCTCCTTGCTCCCAGGCTGTTCCTGTGCCTCCAGAGGCAAAGCATCAGTGAGTGTATCTGGTGCTGTTGAAGTGCTGGCAGCGATGGCTGCCTGCAGCGCAAAAAGGAGGGAAGCTACGACAGGCATGTGTGGGAGGTTTCGGCCGTTCTCCTGCGGGTAGATGGAGGACCTCACTCTCCCAAGGGCTCTCTGCTGGCTTTGTTTTACTGACTCTTGGCCTCTCCCTAAGCTACACGGGGATGTGGCAGCAGTCCCATGCATCTTCTCTGAGGTCTTAATACGTCAGCTCCAGGCTGCAGCTCTCCCGTCAGCTGGTAGATAAACATTACGTGTTGAGATCCATCTCCTCCTTGGGAATGTGAAAAACTTGAGTGTTTGGGCCATTTTTCTCCGCACCTCCCACGTGGAGCAATCTCTCTCAGTGCTATGTGCCAGCCCTGGCAGGAGCTGTGCGATTTTGGATGCGCTCCTTCATGCATCTCCGGAGTTTGGCAGAGCAAGCAGCAGTAACTGGGCACCAGTGCACAATGAGCTGGGCACTGTGCGCTGCTTGACTTCTCAGAGATGGGGTGTGATGCCACCGAAATTGGGAGGGCAGTGACTTACTCTTGCATTGGTATTGTGAACTCAAGGATCTGGCCCCTTGGCTGACCTCCTATAGAAGTGGAGTATGGCCACCCTTAAAATACATCTTCCTTATCTGTGAACCTGCCACAGAAGGCCTGAATCATCATGCCACTGTGTTAGGTTCTCTACAGAGCGTAAGGATGTTACATTTGAGTCTTCAGAACTGTCGTGCTGTATTTTTACTTGTGGCTCTAGTCTACAGAAAAAGCAATCTTACTTCTGTTGCCAACATCCGTGCTTTCATACATTGAGGGGTGTTGCACCCCAGTACCTGAAACAGATGGACATTTTAATTTTATGTATGTGGGGGAGAAAGATGCTATGATAAAATGCAGTAGCTTGCTCTTCAAGCAATGCCAGGGCATATGACACTCCTGTTTTTGTCTTTTAGCTGAAGTGGAAGGATTGCAGGTGACTGTGCCTGAGAAGAAGAAGGTGGCCATGTTGTTTCAGCCTGCTCTGCTTCGCTGCCATTTCTCTACTTCTTCCACCCAACCAGCTGTGGTACAGTGGAGGTTTAAATCTTACTGCCAGGACCGGATGGGAGAAGCTCTGGGGATGGCGACTTCTGGTTTGCAAACAATGAGCAAGAGGAACCTCGACTGGGATCCCTACCTGGATTGTGTGGACAGCAGGAGAACGGTCCGTGTCGTGGCCTCCAAACAAGGATCTGCTGTCACTATAGGGGACTTCTATAAGGAAAGAGATATCAGCATTGTCCACGGTAACTCTCTTACTCCAGTGATGCTTGTTGGGGGTTGGAACGAACCCTTTGCAGTTCGGGATACTGGAGGCTGGCAGTAATTGTTAACTCCCTTAGAAAAGGCTGCTGGAAGGCAGCTGTTGTATGTCAGACAATTAGGATTCAGACAACCAACTTCAGACCCAAAGGTCGCTTCCTTTGGCCCTTCCGTTCATCTGACTCCCCGTAGGTCTCCAACCCTGGTACAGTATTCTTTTCCCTTTGATGAAGTGGAAGGTTTTTATTGCTGGCTTCTGCATATTATTCTGCATATGGATTTTGCTTAACAAAGTGGTGTCAGTAAGAGAGAGATTAATTCTCTCTCAGCGGGCTGGGTTTTTCTTCCTTGCAAACTCCACTGGACCCAGTGTCTTCAACACTTTGCTTTATCTGTAGGTGCTGGAGGGAAAGCCTGACACATTTTTCTCACCTTTCAGATGCAGACCTTCAGATTGGGAAGCTGATGTGGGGAGACAGTGGGCTCTATTACTGCCTTATTATCACACCAGATGATGTGGAGGGCAAAAATGAAGAATCAGTGGAGCTGCTTGTGCTTGGTAAGACCTTTTGCCAGATTGCTTTTTCAGCAGATAGCTGGTATATCTTTCCTTCTGCACTCTCGCTCTCTCTACATATCTGTGCATCGTATTACTATGGGTGTAAGATCTATGTAAAACAGTTCCCGCACTACCTTCACCATTGCCTTGCACCTTGTGCAGTCATTCACACCTAGGCAAGTGGGCGGCAAACGCCGCTGAACCAGAATAGTAATGTTTACACCCACACTGCTCACACATTGCACAGGTGTAAATGATTGCAGAAGGTGCAGGGCTGTGGAAAGTCAAACCCCTTGTTTTTGAAAGCATAAAACAATAAACTTGCAGCAAAGTGAACACTTGAGACAGAGCCTTTTAAAAATAGACACCCAGAAGACATCAAATCATACACTATATGCAGTCTTAAGATTCCCTTTGTCCCACTCTTCTGACCTGTGAGGACGTCAAGAAGCACAGTGTTTATCTACGCAACTGTGTCAGTTTGGGAGGTTTTTCTGCCTGTGCAATTTTGCAGTCACCCTAATCAGCTCTTAAGCTGGTGCTGCCACTGAAAGGACCTGTCCTCTCTGTGGTATATGCACTTGCCTCTGTTTCTGTTAAGCTCCCTTAAGTGGTGAGGTGAGCAGGATCGGTTTCCTCCCTATTTGCAGTTAGCTTTTGGTGATGGCTTCCACAGTCCAGCTCTCACTGTAAAGGTCAAAACATCACCCATCCTAGCTAGGGGAAAGAAGCAGAGTAGAGGGGGCCTTTCAGGGTCATTCGTTGACTCTGCTTGAACCAGCTGTACTACTTCACCCCTAGACTGCCCCAGGAGAGTAAGATGAGTTTTTCCCGACTTACCCTAAGACTTGCTGACACCAGTGTTTGTCTGGTAAGCATGCTTGCTTGATTCTTGGGTGTACCGATTCTGCACATCCTGTGAAGGAAATGTTAAAAAGCTTGGGCCTGTGGTGTGTAGGTGATAGGTCTGTCAAGTGCCCTTGCTCTCATGGTTAAGGTCAGAGTTTAACTGGCAGTTGGTTTATTGGCATTTGGAAGTGTAGTTGTCATCACAAAGTAAACTAGATTGAATGGGTGAGTGACCATAACAGTGCCATCACCTCTCCTCACTCCTGCACACAATTGGAGTATGGATCCCTTCAGAAAATAGTGTCATACACCAGTCTAAATCCACGGTGTGGCTGTGTGTATGCTGCTTCATAACAGGCCCAGGACTGACCTCTGCTAGTTCGGGTGAGGTTATTTCTGACAGGTGGCAGCTGTAGCTGTTATGTAGCCTCTCCGGAGAAGCTCTCTGTGGCTGCCTGGTCATGGGCTGCTGAATTTTGTCCCTTCTTCACCCTCCTGTCCAGGATTTGGTGTCTTCCTCTTATGTGTGTCTACAACTGTGCTCAGACACCAGTGATGAAACAGTGCCATGGTAACAGGAAGAATCTGTTTTTCAGTGTGTACAGAAGGCTATGTGGGGGGAAAACAAAGAAGTCCCCTCCTCTGAAGCTGGCTGGGTGACATCCCTGGCCCCACTTTGTTGTGATTACGTTGGGAGGAAACACGTATCTTGGGCTATGTTACTCTGACCACATCTGCCTTCCTGCTCACTGCAGCCTGTGGCTCTGACCTTGCACTTCATGCAGCGCTCTGCTAAGTTTGGCAGCAGCATGAAAGCATACTTGTCGTGGGCATACTTTGTTCTGCCTCATGCTGTTTGGCGCAGCTTGTGTATATTTCTTTTCCCGAGTAGTGTGTGTGGAGGCAACATTCCAGCTTCTGGAGTGACTCCAGGTTACCTGCCCATTTTCCTTGCCTCCATCCACGCTTCCTTCCATCCTTCACAGAATCACAGAATGTCAGGGGTTGGAAGGGATCTCGAAAGAGCAGGATCCCCTAGGGCAGCCACACAGGAACTCATCCAGGCGGATTTTGAAAGTCTCCAGAGAAGAAGATTCCACAACCTCCCTGGGCAGCCTGTTCCAGTGCTCTGTCACTCTCATAGTGAAAAAGTTTTTCCTCATGTTTTTGTGGAACCTTCTATGCTCCAGCCTGCACCCGTGGTCCCTTGTCCTATCATTGGACCCACGTTATTCTTTCCCTTCTGCCTTTCGTTTTTCCTTTACCTCTCCCCATTGATGGCTAAAGGAGGAAGCAGCCAGTGGGGAAGATACTAGTTCTTAGTATTCTGGCATCTTCTGGGACACTTTTTTATTCCATCCCATTGCTTGGAGGGAGACTGTGAATACAGATGTAGATTGGAGCTATTCCACAGTCTTAGGGGACATGTGGTAAAAGGGTTTTGTTTGCTGGTTTGCTGTTTGCTGCTCTTTGGGTGGAACCCAGATTCCCTGTTAGAGCAGTTGGAGCAGTGGAGGGATAGTGTCAGCGAGAGACACTATGATTCCTACAAGACGTTGCTGTTTTCTCCCTGCTGACAGTGGTCTTTCAAATATAATTTACATTGCTTATTTTGGGGATGCTGCAGGATTTAAACATGTGTTGTGGTTTAACCCCAGCCAGCAACTAAGCACCATGCAGCTGCTTGCTCACTGCCCCCACCCAGTGAGATGGGAGAGAGAATAAAACAAAAAAAAGATAAAACTTGGAGGCTGAGATAAAGACAGTTCAATAGGATAGAAAAGGGAGAACAAGAAGGAGTAAAGAAAAGAATAAGAAAGTAATGATGATGATAGAATTAGAATATAAAAAACAAGTGACGCATGATGCAGTTGCTCATCACTTGTCAGCCGATACCTAGTTTCCAAGCAGTGGTGTTCCTTGGCCAACTCCCCCCAGTTTATATACTGGACGTGATGTCATGTGATATGGAATACCCCTTTGGCTCGTTTGGGTCAGCTGCCTTGCCATGTTCCCTCCCAGCTTCTTGAGCACTCCCAGCCTCCACTGGCAGGGCAGCATGAGAAGCTGAAAAGTCCTTGGCTTAGTATAAATCTTACTTGGGAACAACTAAAGCATCAGTGTGTTATCAGCATTATTGTCATCCTAAATCCAAAACACAGCTACCGGGAAGAAAATTAACTTTATTCCAGACGGAACCAGGACAGCATAGATTACAATTCTGAATAAAGCAGAGATTCTACCTACTCATGTTGTCAGTGGAGGAAGACAGAAAAATCAGAGTGGAAAGGGAAAGAATCATAGACCTTTAGGATTGAGTCCAACTGTTAACTTAGTGATGTCAGGTCCACTGCTAAACAATGTCACTAAGCTTGGTTCAAGCCAACTAGGACAAAAACCACACGGTCTCCAGCTCACTTCTCCCACTCCCCCATTTCCACAAAGGCAGGACAGCTCAACGCAAGACAAAACCAAAAGAGAGAGAGAGAGAGAGAACAATGGGGTTGCCTCTTAAATACCTTGATGGCAGAGGCGCTGATTGGCCTGGCCCTGGCCAGAAGTAGGTCCAGCTCCTACCTGAGAGTGGGGGAGGCTCTTGAATCTTCACACGAGTCTACCCCTACTTTTACAAAAAACCCCACAAGACTCAAACTCATGACAGCACTGCATCTGCACATCTTTTAAATACCTCCAGGGCTGGTGACTCCACCAGTTTTCCCTGGGCAGCCTGTTCCAGTGCTTGATAACCCTTTTGGTGAAGAAGTTTTTCCATGTCAAATCTAAACGTCCCTTGGCACAACTTTAGGCTGTTTTGACTTGTCCTATGGCTTGCTGAGAAGAGGGACCTCCACCTCACTACAACCTCGTTTCATGTAGTTGTAGAGAGCGATAAGGTCTGCCCTCAGCCTTTTTTTCTCCAGGTTAAATAATCTTAGTTCCCTCAGGTGCACCTCATAAGACTTACGCTCTAGACACTTCACCCGCTTCATTGACCTTTTTGGACATGTTCCAGCACCAAAATGTCTTTCTTGTCATGAAGGGCCCAAAACTGAGCACGGTGTTTGAGGTGCAGCCCCTCCAGTGCTGAATACAGGGGAACAATCACTGCCCTTGGCTTGCTGGCCATACTATTGCTGATACAGGCCAGGATGCCGTTGGCCTTCTTGACCACCTGGGCACACTGCTGCCTCATGTTCAGCCGGCTAACGACCAACCCCCCCAGGTCCTTTTCCAACAGGCAGCTTTCCAGCCACTCCTCCCCAAGCCTGTAGCACTGCTTGGCATTGTGGCCTTCATGCAGGACCCAGCACTTGGCCTTGTTGAACCTCATACACTTGTGTCTGCCCATTGATCCAGCCTGTCCAGATCCCTCTGTAGAGCCTTCCTACCCTCAAGCATATCTATGCTCCCACTCAGCTTCATGTCATCCACGGACTTACTGAGTGTGTGCTCAATCCCCTCATCTCAAACCATTGATAAAGATATTAAACAGAATAACTTCCAGTGCTGACCCCTAGGGAACACCGCTTGTGACCAGCTGCCAACAGTCAAGTGGTGCTCTCTGCACTCCTGTGTTTTACTAGAAATCTAGAACTCTCTGCTGATGTTAGAGCTGGCCTAGTGATTCCATTTGCAACTTCATACATTTTTTTTTTCAGAACCAATGTGCTTGAATCAAAAAGGCCGAATCCTAAGTTTAAGAAAGCCTACATTAGTAGCTAGCAGCTGAGTGCCCTGCTTCTTGAAACATGGACAGGGCTATTAATTAAATTCTTATTTGTAGCCCCTGTGCACTGCTTTTTTTATATGAGAATGTCAGTGGGCTTCGCTAAAGTCATTCATTGCAGCTGTTGTTGAAGGGAACTGCAGGTGTACCAGTGTGGTGGATGCAGTGTGCCTGGAGTAACCTTCATTCGATACAGGGCAGTGTCAGCGGATACCCCATCCTAGCTTCATGTGACCCAGCTCACATCAGGAAGCAGTCTAGTTTAATTGCATGGGATTGTGTATAACCCATTAAGCCTCACCGAGAGCCAGAATTTGCGAATTAGGTGCAGGGTGCGGTGAAAGCAGCTATACTGCTCCCTTCCCAAGCTGGTTCAGCTATAGAGCAAGACCTGTAGGTATAGCTAGGCACAGGTGGCTACCCT